GAGGGACGCCAGAACAGCGGATGCCAGGGCGAGGGGATCGAGGAGCAGCTTCAGCTCGAGCTCTGATACACCACCCGTGGGAACACTAATGCCTGGAGGATGAGTATGGTAGATGCCTCAATGATGCAGGTGGAGCTGGGGAGGTGGAGGGACGCCAGAACAGCGGATGCCGGAGCGAGGGGCTCGAGGAGCAGCTTCAGCTCGAGCTCTGATACACCACCCGTGGGAACTCTAATGCCTGGAGGATGAGTATGGTAGATGCCTCAATGATGCAGGTGGAGCTGGGGAGGTGGAGGGACGCCAGAAAAGTGGATGCCGGAGCGAGGGGATCGAGGGGATCGAGGAGCAGCTTCAGCTCGAGCTCTGATACACCACCAGTGGGAACACTAATGCCTGGAGGATGAGTATGGTAGATGCCTCAATGATGCAGGTGGAGCTGGGGAGGTGGAGGGACGGCAGAACAGCGGATGCCGGAGTGAGGGGATCGAGGAGCAGCTTCAGCTCCAGCTCAGATACACCACCCGTGGGAACACTAATGCCTGGAGGATGAGCCTGGTAGATGCCTCAATGATGCAGGTGGAGCTGGGGAGGTGGAGGGACGGCAGAACAGCGGATGCCGGAGTGAGGGGATCGAGGAGCAGCTTCAGCTCGAGCTGATACACCACCAGTGGGAACTCTAATGCCTGGAGGATGAGTATGGTAGATGCCTCAATGATGCAGGTGGAGCTGGGGAGGTGGAGGGACGCCAGAACAGCGGATGCCGGAGCGAGGGGATCGAGGAGCAGCTTCAGTTTGAGATCTGATACACCACCAGTGGGAACACTAATGCCTGGAGGATGAGTATGGTAGATGCCTAAATGATGCAGGTGGAGCTGGGGAGGTGGAGGGACGCCAGAACAGCGGATACCGGAGTGAGGGGGTCGAGGAGCAGCTTCAGTTCGAGCTCTGATACACCACCCGTGGAAACACTAATGCCTGGAGGATGAGCCTGGTAGATGCCTCAATGATGCAGGTGGAGCTGGGGAGGTGGAGGGACGCCAGAACAGCGGATGCCAGGGCGAGGGGATCGAGGAGCAGCTTCAGCTCAAGCTCTGATACACCACCCGTGGGAACACTAATGCCTGGAGGATGAGTATGGTAGATGCCTCAATGATGCAGGTGGAGCTGGGGATGTGGAGGGAGGCCAGAACAGCGGATGCCGGAGCGAGGGGATCGAGGAGCAGCTTCAGCTCGAGCTCTGATACACCACCAGTGGGAACACTAATGCCTGGAGGATGAGCCTGTTAGATGCCTCAATGGTGCAGGTGGAGATGGGGAGGTGAAGGGACGCCAGAACAGCGGATAGCGGAGTGAGGGGGTCGAGGAGCAGCTTCAGCTCGAGCTCTGATACACCACCCGTGGAAACACTAATGCCTGGAGGATGAGCCTGGTAGATGCCTCAATGATGCAGGTGGAGCTGGGAAGGTGGAGGGACGCCAGAACAGCGGATGCCGGAGCGAGGGGATCGAGGAGCAGCTTCAGCTCGAGCTCTGATACACCACCCGTGGAAACTCTAATGCCTGGAGGATGAGCCTGGTAGATGCCTCAATGATGCAGGTGGAACTGGGGAGGTGGAGGGACGCCAGAACAGCGGATGCCAGGGCGAGGGGATCGAGGAACAGCTTCAGCTCGAGCTCTGATACACCACCCGTGGGAACACTAATGCCTGGAGGATGAGCCTGGTAGATGCCTCAATGATGCAGGTGGAGCTGGGGAGGTAGAGGGACGCCAGAACAGCGGATACCGGAGTGAGGGGGTCGAGGAGCAGCTTCAGCTCGAGCTCTGATACACCACCCGTGGAAACTCTAATGCCTGGAGGATGAGCCTGGTAGATGCCTCAATAATGCAGGTGGAACTGGGGAGGTGGAGGGACACCAGGACAGCGGATGCCAGGGCGAGGGGATCGAGGAGCAGCTTCAGCTCGAGCTCTGATACACCACCCGTGGGAACACTAATGCCTGGAGGATGAGTATGGTAGATGCCTCAATGATGCAGGTGGAGCTGGGGATGTGGAGGGACGCCAGAACAGCGGATGCCGGAGCGAGGGGATCGAGGAGTAGCTTCAGCTCGAGCTCTGATACACCACCAGTGGGAACACTAATGCCTGGAGGATGAGCCTGGTAGATGCCTCAATGGTGCAGGTGGAGCTGGGGAGGTGGAGGGACGCCAGAACAGCGGATACCGGAGTAAGGGGGTCGAGGAGCAGCTTCAGCTCGAGCTCTGATACACCACCCTTGGAAACACTAATGCCTGGAGGATGAGCCTGGTAGATGCCTCAATGATGCAGGTGGAGCTGGGGAGGTGGAGGGACGCCAGAACAGCGGATGCCGGAGCGAGGGGATCGAGGAGCAGCTTCAGCTCGAGCTCTGATACACCACCCGTGGAAACACTAATGCCTGGAGGATGAGCCTGGTAGATGCCTCAATGATGCAGGTGGAACTGGGGAGGTGGAGGGACGCCAGAACAGCGGATGCCGGATCGAGGAGCAGCTTCAGCTCGAGCTCTGATACACCACCCGTGGAAACACTAATGCCTGGAGGATGAGCCTGGTAGAAGCCTCAATGATGCAGGTGGAGCTGGGGAGGTGGAGGGACGCCAGAACAGCGGATGCCAGAGCGAGGGGCTCGAGGAGCAGCTTCAGCTCGAGCTCTGATACACCACCCGTGGGAACACTAATGCCTGGAGGATGAGTATGGTAGATGCCTCAATGATGCAGGTGGAGCTGGGGAGGTGGAGGGACGCCAGAACAGCGGATGCTGGAGCGAGGGGATCGAGGAGCAGCTTCAGCTCGAGCTCTGATACACCACCCGTGGGAACACTAATGCCTGGAGGATGAGTATGGTAGATGCCTCAATGATGCAGGTGGAGCTGGGGAGGTGGAGGGACGCCAGAACAGCGGATGCCGGAGCGAGGGGCTCGAGGAGCAGCTTCAGCTCGAGCTCTGATACACCACCCGTGGAAACACTAATGCCTGGAGGATGAGCCTGGTAGATGCCTCAATGATGCAGGTGGAGCTGGGGAGGTGGAGGGATGCCAGAACAGCGGATGCCGGAGCGAGGGGCTCGAGGAGCAGCTTCAGCTCGAGCTCTGATACACCACCCGTGGAAACACTAATGCCTGGAGGATGAGTATGGTAGATGCCTCAATGATGCAGGTGGAGCTGGGGAGGTGGAGGGACGCCAGAACAGCGGATGCCAGGGCGAGGGGATCGAGGAGCAGCTTCAGCTCCAGCTCAGATACACCACCCGTGGGAACACTAATGCCTGGAGGATGAGCCTGGTAGATGCCTCAATGATGCAGGTGGAGCTGGGGAGGTGGAGGGACGCCAGAACAGCGGATGCCAGGGCGCGGGGATCGAGGAGCAGCTTCAGCTCGAGCTCTGATACACCACCCGTGGGAACACTAATGCCTGGAGGAGGAGCCTGGTAGATGCCTCAATGATGCAGGTGGAGCTGGGGATGTGGAGGGACGCCAGAACAGCGGATGCCGGAGCGAGGGGATCGAGGAGCAGCTTCAGCTTGAGCTCTGATACACCACCCGTGGAAACACTAATGCCTGGAGGATGAGTATGGTAGATGCCTCAATGATGCAGGTGGAGCTGGGGAGGTGGAGGGACGCCAGAACAGCGGATGCCGGAGCGAGGGGATCGAGGAGCAGCTTCAGCTCCAGCTCAGATACACCACCCGTGGGAACACTAATGCCTGGAGGATGAGTATGGTAGATGCCTCAATGATGCAGGTGGAGCTGGGGAGGTGGAGGGACGCCAGAACAGCGGATGCCGGAGCGAGGGGATCGAGGAGCAGCTTCAGCTCCAGCTCAGATACACCACCCATGGGAACACTAATGCCTGGAGGATGAGCATGGTAGATGCCTCAATGAATGCAGGTGGAGCTGGGGAGGTGGAGGGACGCCAGAACAGCGGATGCCGGAGCGAGGGGATCGAGGAGCAGCTTCAGCTCGAGCTTTGATACACCACCCGTGGGAGCACTAATGCCTGGAGGATGAGCCTGGTAGATGCCTCAATGGTGCAGGTGGAGCTGGGGAGGTGGAGGGACGCCAGAACAGCGGATGCCAGAGTGAGGGGATCGAGGAGCAGCTTCAGCTCGAGCTCTGATACACCACCCGTGGGAGCACTAATGCCTGGAGGATGAGCCTGGTAGATGCCTCAATGGTGCAGGTGGAGCTGGGGAGGTGGAGGGACGCCAGAACAGCGGATGCCGGAGTGAGGGGATCGAGGAGCAGCTTCAGCTCGAGCTCTGATACACCACCCGTGGGAACACTAATGCCTGGAGGATGAGTATGGTAGATGCCTCAATGATGCAGGTGGAGCTGGGGAGGTGGAGGGACGCCAGAACAGCGGATGCCGGAGCGAGGGGATCGAGGAGCAGCTTCAGCTCGAGCTCTGATACACCACCCGTGGGAACACTAATGCCTGGAGGATGAGCCTGGTAGATGCCTCAATGGTGCAGGTGGAGCTGGGGAGGTGGAGGGACGCCAGAACAGCGGATACCGGAGTGAGGGGGTAGAGGAGCAGCTTCAGCTCGAGCTCTGATACACCACCAGTGGAAACACTAATGCCTGGAGGATGAGCCTGGTAGATGCCTCAATGGTGCAGGTGGAGCTGGGGAGGTGTAGGGACGCCAGAACAGCAGATACCGGAGTGAGGGGGTAGAGGAGCAGCTTCAGCTCGAGCTCTGATACACCACCCGTGGAAACACTAATGCCTGGAGGATGAGCCTGGTAGATGCCTCAATGATGCAGGTGGAGCTGGGGAGGTGGAGGGACGCCAGAACAGCGGATGCCGGAGCGAGGGGATCGAGCGGCTGCTTGTCGGCTCCGGCGGTTAACTGAGAGATTAGATGGGTTCACTCCTCCCGAAACTACGTTGTGAACTTCACTTGTTTGCTGGAAACCAAAACAAAAAAGCTTGGAATGTGAAAAAAAAATACAAAACACAAATATGTTTTCATATCATTTTAATGCATTTTTTTGACAAACATAAACTCACTGCAAAAATGACTTCATAAAATGTTTCCAATTAGATTTTTCACTTGAAGTTTAAAGTGTCTAAAAATCCTTGAAATATTTAAAATTTAAATAATTTACAGACTGGAGACTTAACACCGCACGAGACAGCAAGACTCCTTTTCATGGACTGTTGCTTAGATACGAGTGATTTTTGTCTGTTTTCAGTACAAAGAAAGTTAAAAACAAGCCAGTGCAGAAAGACAAAGTTGCTTCTCAAGCGAATTTAAGGATTTTTTATATAATTTAACTGGGAAACAAGACAGAAAAACTCATTAAGCATTTATTATTATTTTTGAAGCGTGTAATGTGATGTAATTAATTAATCATAAACCAATAAGAGCAGGAACGGGAATGAAATCTATTTTTCCCTCTACAGCACAGATGCTCTTACTGAGAAACATGATAATACATTCAATAAATATATTAACGATAAGAGGTACTTATAATTAAATATAATAAATCACGAACAGGAATCAGTGGCGTTCAGCGACTCAAGCTTTGGGATGGATGGCGGCAGTGGGGCGGGTCTTAAGGCGGAGGAGCTCAGCGATTGGACGATTGCTGTCCTGGAAAAAGTCCAATCCCGTGATCCACTCCACATCCCTCACGCGTGATTGGTGCATCCACAGGAGAGGCTCCACCCACTGGGACTCCGGCTGGTCATCCTACACACAAACAGTGACAGGATCTCTCATGACTCGAGTTCTTGTGTCACATCACGTAAAGCTTCATTGTGTTTCATTCATTGTTTGAGTTGGTGGGAAACGAGATTATTGCGACATCACGCATTCATGTCAGAAACAAAACACAGAAGCAGCTGAAACCCAAACAAACAAACAATGGCAAAAGCTCTTTGTTTAGTGGGATGAGCATCATGGGACGCACCTGTGTCACCGTCACATGATTCTGTTACTGTACGTGTATAGTCATATTTCAAAGCAGCTTCACAGAAAAGCATGACTGAGCATTAACTTTGGTTTTGTTTGTAGAATTTATATCATTTAAAATTAATATGCATAAATAAAACCGAAAAGTTTTTAGTTTTGCGGCTTAATGTCACTGAAAACTAAATAAAAAATAATAATATTAATGAATGAATAAATAAAAATTATTAAAATGGAATTTTTAATTAATGATTAAATAAAAAATATCAATGAGTTGAATAATTTATATCAATTAAATGAATCTGGAAAATAAAACGTTGTTAGTTAAAAAAAAAATAATAATAATAATATCGATTGAATTATACAATTTATATAATTAAAGTTAATATGCATGAATAAAAGAGTGAGGTTTGTCAGTTTTACAGCTTAATGTCACTGACAAATGAAAAAAAGAATAATTATTGAATAAATAAAAATAATTCAAATAAATGTTTTACTTAATGAATAAATAAAAAAGAAATAAAAATATCAATGAATTGTATAATTTATATCATTTCATTTAATATGCATGAATACAACAGTGAAGTTGTTAGTCTTACAGGTTAATGTCACTGAAAAATTAAATAAAAAAATAAAAAAAATTTGAATAAATAAAAATATATTTTGTACTTACTGAACAAATAAATAAATAAATATCGATTCAATTGTATAATTTATATAATTTTAATTAGTATGCATAAATGAAACAGAGAAGTTGTTAGTTTTAGAGCTTAATTGCATTGACAAATACAATTAAATAAATAATGAATGAATAAAAATGTATAAAAAAATTCTACTTAATGAATAAATAAATAAAATTATGACAAATATTGATGAACAATAAAAACTGATCCACTGATCAGAATAATATTATTAATATGAAAACAAGAATGTTTAAGGTGTGTTCATATCTACTAATCTGTCACGGCGTGACATCAGAGAACGTCTGAAAACACAAAGAACAAACTGAATCATTCTGACTGCAGTTTCGATTCATTGAGAAGAACGAACAGAATGATTCATGTGATGATGGATTCAATCACGCTCAAAGTCAAGTGTCTCGTTCCACATCCAGTGTGTGAGGATGAGCTTGTGAAACAGGAAGTGAGAGTATCAGTGTGTGTGTGTGTGTGTCACTCACCGCGCAGCTCTCTGTGTTTTCATCTCTGTGGGGCAGAAGGAAGGAAACGCTCTGAAGTTCCCCGGAACATTCGCCCACCGCCTGCGTCTCGTCCCGGCAGCTCGTCAGCACCGCGAAATAATGAGTGGGAAGAGGAACAGACGAACCTGCAACCAACCTGAACACAAGCACTGTGAGACGCGTGAGGAGGGGACATACAGAGGCATTTATATAGCGCTTTCATATGTTCTACTGTACACCCAAAGCGCTTTACACTCATGTCAGGCGGTCTCGCCTCAACACCACCAGTGTGAGCTCCTCTGGGATGAGGCGACGGCAGCCACAGTACAACAGCGCCAGTGCGCTCACAACACACACACACCAGCTATAGTTGGAGAGGACAGAGAGTGATAGAGCCAAATTCAGTGGATGGGGATTATTAGGAGGCCATGATTGGCGAGGGCCACTGGAGGGAATGTGGCCAGGACACCGGGGTTACACCCCTACTCTTTACCAGGAGTGCCATGGGATTTGTAATGACCACAGAGAGTCAGGGCCTCGGTTTAACATCTCATCCAAAGGACGGTGCTCTTTGACAGTATAGTGTCCCCGTCACTATACTGGGGCGTTAGGACCCACACAGAGCACAGGGTGAGCGCCCCCTGCTGGGTGAGCGCCCCCTGCTGGCCTCACTGACACCTCTTCCAGCAGCAACCTGGTTTTCCCAGGAGTCTCCCATCCAGACACTGCCCAGCCTCAGCCCTGCTTAGCTTCAGTGGGGGGCCAGTCTCGGGCTACAGGGTGATACAGCTGCTGGCATAAATATCATGAAAATCTGACTTTTTCCGTGTTTAAGTGCTATAATCGGGTGCTTCTACCAACCCAAAAAGTGAAAAGTGAAACCCAGTAACTTTGTTTTGGTGAGCCTTTCTCTGCAAGCGTGTCCAAAAATAAGCCGATCAGATTTCGCTCTCCTTCTGACTTAGGAAGAGGATCTTATTATAATATTACAGGCCCTTAATCTGCACGTCTCTCCGTGACGGTACAGATCCACTTGTCCGTGCGACACTTCTGTCGCGCCACGCTCCGCTTTATTCCTATGGGTGACGTCACGCGACTTTAACGCGCCTGCAAAGCATCCCGGGAAGGCGCCGCTGCATTTGGTACCGTAAGGCTGCACTCGCTCCTGGTTATTCCTGATTCTGGATCAGTGAGATTGGCCTGTTTTGTTATTGCCGGAGTTTCTGAAGCTTGTGTAAAGGCTCCGCCCTCTTCTGAACAGAGGCGGAGCTGCAGCTCATTTGCATTTAAAGGGGCGTGTTTTTGCTCACACCCAAAAAGGGGCAAATTTGACAAGCTATTATAAATGATCTGGGGGTTTTTGTTGCTGAAATTTCACACACACATTCTGGGGACACCGTAGATTTATATTACATCTTGTGAAAAGGGGCATAATATGTCACCTTTAAACATGAGGGAACACATTACAGGAAATGATCATACTTACTCCTGGATCTGATCCCGAGAGTCGAAGCGTCCGTCATAGTTGTAGTCGTACACCGGGCCAGTGACAACGTTAATGCCGTTATACTGAGACGCGTATTTAAGCAGCAGAACCTCCTGGAAATACTGCCAGAGTCCTGGAGAAACACACAACAAGCCATCAGATACACACACACACACTCACTGCAGAGACACACAACAAGCCATCAGATACACACACACACACTCACTCACTGCAGAGACACACAACAAGTCATCAGATACACACACACACTCACTGCAGAGACACACAACAAGCCATCAGATACACACACACACACTCACAGCAGAAACTCACTGCACACACACTCACTGCACACACACTCACTGCACAAGCACTCACTGCACACACACTCACTGCACACACACTCACTGCACAAGCACTCACAGCAGAAACACTCGCTGCACACACACTCACTGCACACACACTCACTGCACAAGCACTCACTGCACAAGCACTCACAGCAGAAACACTCACTGCACACACACTCACTGCACAAGCACTCACAGCAGAAACACTCACTGCACACACACTCACTGCACAAGCACTTACAGCAGAAACACTCACTGCACACACACTCACTGCACAAGCACTCACAGCAGAAACACTCGCTGCACACACACTCACTGCACAAGCACTCACAGCAGAAACACTCGCTGCACACACACTCACTGCACAAGCACTCACAGCAGAAACACTCACTGCACACACACTCACTGCACACACACTCACTGCACACACTCACTGCACACACTCACTGCACAAGCACTCACAGCAGAAACACTCACTGCACACACACTCACTGCACACACACTCACTGCACACACACTCACTGCACAAGCACTCACTGCACACACTCACTGCACACACTCACTGCACAAGCACTCACAGCAGAAACACTCACTGCACACACACTCACTGCACACACACTCACTGCACACACACTCACTGCACAAGCACTCACAGCAGAAACACTCACTGCACACACACTCACTGCACACACACTCACTGCAGAAACACTCACTGCACACACACTCACTGCACACACTCACTGCACACACTCACTGCACACACTCACTGCACACACACACTCACTGCACAAGCACTCACAGCAGAAACACTCACTGCACACACACTCACTGCAGAAACACTCACTGCACACACACTCACTGCACACACTCACTGCACACACTCACTGCACACACTCACTGCACACACACTCACTGCACAAGCACTCACAGCAGAAACACTCACTGCACACACACTCACTGCACACACACTCACTGCACAAGCACTCACTGCAGAAACACTCACTGCACACACACTCACTGCACACACACTCACTGCACACACACTCACTGCACAAGCACTCACAGCAGAAACACTCACTGCACAAGCACTCACTGCAGAAACACTCACTGCACACACACTCACTGCACACACACTCACTGCACACACACTCACTGCACACACTCACTGCACACACACTCACTGCACAAGCACTCACAGCAGAAACACTCACTGCACACACACTCACTGCACACACTCTCACTGCACACACACTCACTGCACACACACTCACTGCACACACACTCACTGCACAAGCACTCACTGCACACACACTCACTGCACACACACTCACTGCACACACACTCACTGCACAAGCACTCACTGCAGAAACACTCACTGCACACACACTCACTGCACACACACTCACTGCAAACACACTCACTGCGCACACTCACTGCAGAAACACTCACTGCACACACTCACTGCAGAAACACTCACTGCACACACTCACTGCACACACACTCACTGCACACACACTCACAGCTGAAACACTCACTGCACACACACTCACTGCACACACACTCACTGCGCACACACTCACTGCACACACTCACAGCAGAAACACTCACTGCACACACACTAACTGCACACACACTCACTGCACACACACACTCACTGCACACACACACACTCACTGCACACACACTCACTGCACACACACTCACTGCACACACACTCACAGCAGAAACACTCACTGCACACACACTCACTGCACACACTCACAGCAGAAACACTCACTGCACACACACTCACAGCAGAAACACTCACTGCACACACACTCACTGCACACGCACTCACTGCACACACACTCACAGCAGAAACACTCACTGCCCACACACTCACTGCACACACTCACTGCACACACTCACTACACACACACTCACTGCAGAAACACTCACTGCACACACTCACTACACACACACTCACTGCACACACACTCGCTTCACACACTGCAGAAACAATTACTGCACACACTCACTGCACACACACTCACTGCACACACACTCACTGCACACACTCACTGCACACACTCACTGCACACACTCACTGCACACACACTCACTGCACACACACTCACTGCCGAAACACTCACTGCACACACTCACTGCACACACACTCACTGCACACACTCACTTCACACACTCACTTTACACACTCACTTCACACACTGCAGAAACAATTACTGCACATACTCACAGCAGAAACACTCACTGCACACACTCACTGCACACACTCACTACACACACACTCACATCACACACACTCACTGCACACACACTCACTGCACACACACTCACTGCACACACTCACTTCACACACTCACTTCACACACTGCAGGAACACTCACTGTACACACTCACTGCACACACACTCACTGCACACACACTCACTTCACACACTGCAGAAACAATTACTGCACACACTCACTGCAGAAACACTCACTGCACACACACTCACTGCACACACTCAGTGCACACACTCACTTCACACACTGCAGGAACACTCACTGTACACACTCACTGCACACACTCACTACACACACACTCACTGCACACACACTCACTGCACACACACTCACTGCACACACACTCACTGCACACACACTCACTGCACACACTCACTTCACACACTCACTTCACACACTGCAGGAACACTCACTGTACACACTCACAGCAGAAACACTCACTGCACACACACTCACTGCACACACTCACTTCACACACTCACTTCACACACTCACTTCACACACTGCAGAAACAATTACTGCACACACTCACAGCAGAAACACTCACTGCACACACTCACTTCACACACTCACTTCACACACTCACTTCACACACTGCAGAAACAATTACTGCACACACTCACAGCAGAAACACTCACTGCACACACTCACTTCACACACTCACTTTACACACTCACTTCACACACTGCAGAAACAATTACTGCACACACTCACAGCAGAAACACTCACTGCACACACTCACTGCACACACTCACTTCACACACACTCACAGCACACACACTCACTGCACACACACTCACTGCACACACACTCACTGCACACACTCACTTCACACACTCACTTCACACACTGCAGGAACACTCACTGTACACACTCACAGCAGAAACACTCACTGCACACACACTCACTTCACACACTGCAGAAACAATTACTGCACACACTCACTGCACACACTCAGTGCACACACTCACTTCACACACTGCAGGAACACTCACTGTACACACTCACTGCACACACTCACTACACACACACTCCCTGCAGAAACACTCACTGCACACACACTCACTGCACACACTCAGTGCACACACTCACTTCACACACTGCAGGAACACTCACTGTACACACTCACTGCACACACTCACTACACACACACATACTGCACACACACTCACTGCACACACACTCACTGCACACACTCACTTCACACACTCACTTCACACACTGCAGGAACACTCACTGTACACACTCACAGCAGAAACACTCACTGCACACACACTCACTGCACACACTCAGTGCACACACTCACTTCACACACTGCAGAAACAATTACTGCACACACTCACTGCAGAAACACTCACTGCACACACACTCACTGCACACACTCAGTGCACACACTCACTTCACACACTGCAGAAACAATTACTGCACACACTCACTGCAGAAACACTCACTGCACACACACTCACTGCACACACTCACTTCACACACTCACTTCACACACTGCAGAAACAATTACTGCACACACTCACTGCAGAAACACTCACTGCACACACACTCACTGCACACACTCAGTGCACACACTCACTTCACACACTGCAGGAACACTCACTGTACACACTCACTGCACACACTCACTACACACACACTCACTGCACACACACTCACTGCACACACACTCACTTCACACACACTCACTGCACACACACTCACTGCACACACTCACTTCACACACTCACTTCACACACTGCAGGAACACTCACTGTACACACTCACAGCAGAAACACTCACTGCACACACTCACTTCACACACTCACTTCACACACTCACTGCACACACTCACTTCACACACTGCAGAAACAATTACTGCACACACTCACAGCAGAAACACTCACTGCACACACTCACTGCACACACTCACTACACACACACTCACAGCACACACACTCACTGCACACACACTCACTGCACACACACTCACTGCACACACTCACTTCACACACTCACTTCACACACTGCAGGAACACTCACTGTACACACTCACAGCAGAAACACTCACTGCACACACACTCACTTCACACACTGCAGAAACAATTACTGCACACACTCACTGCACACACACTCACTGCACACACTCACTGCACACACTCAGTGCACACACTCACTTCACACACTGCAGGAACACTCACTGTACACACTCACTGCACACACTCACTACACACACACTCACTGCAGAAACACTCACTGCACACACACTCACTGCACACACTCAGTGCACACACTCACTTCACACACTGCAGGAACACTCACTGTACACACTCACTGCACACACTCACTACACACACACTCACTGCACACACACTCACTGCACACACACTCACTGCACACACTCACTTCACACACTCACTTCACACACTGCAGGAACACTCACTGTACACACTCACAGCAGAAACACTCACTGCAAACACACTCACTTCACACACTGCAGAAACAATTACTGCACACACTCACTGCAGAAACACTCACTGCACACACACTCACTGCACACACTTAGTGCACACACTCACTTCACACACTGCAGGAACACTCACTGTACACACTCACTGCACACACTCACTACACACACACTCACTGCACACACACTCACTGCACACACACTCACTGCACACACACTCACTGCACACACACTCACTGCACACACTCACTTCACACACTCACTTCACACACTGCAGGAACACTCACTGTACACACTCACAGCAGAAACACTCACTGCACACACTCACTTCACACACTCACTTCACACACTGCAGAAACAATTACTGCACACACTCACAGCAGAAACACTCACTGCACACACACTCACTTCACACACTGCAGGAACACTCACTGTACACACTCACAGCAGAAACACTCACTGCACACACTCACTTCACACACTCACTTCACACACTCACTTCACACACTGCAGAAACAATTACTGCACACACTCACAGCAGAAACACTCACTGCACACACACTCACTGCACACACTCACTACACACACACTCACTGCACACACACTCACTGCACACACACTCACTGCACACACACTCACTGCACACACTCACTTCACACACTGCAGGAACACTCACTGTACACACTCACAGCAGAAACACTCACTGCACACACTCACTTCACACACTCACTTCACACACACTCACAGCACACACACTCACTTCACACACTGCAGAAACAATTACTGCACACACTCACAGCAGAAACACTCACTGCACACACACTCACTGCACACACTCACTTCACACACTCACTTCACACACTGCAGGAACACTCACTGCACACACACTCACTGCACACACACACACACTCACTGCACACACACACACTGCACACTCAACACTCACTCTTGAATTGTGGGAACATCGGCACCACGTTTCCTAGTGTCAGAGCGTCGAACTGATCTTCAGACGAGCTGTTCAGATCTGCCAACACAAACCGGTCAGACACACACCTTTACTCCGTGTATGGAGACGGTCACAGACATCAAACCCAGAACATACTACAGTGTTACAACTTTACTTTTTCCTTTACGTTATTTCTTACTAACAAGGACATCCACAAACTGAGGTTTTGTCAGATCAATCTCACTTCTGGGTACAGATGTCTCCCCAAAATAAGGTCAAGCAGGTGCACCAGGGTCATTTTTGTTAACCAAAACAAAGTAAAGCTATTTTTTATTAACTAAAATAAAGCTAAA